TTTGAGCCAAAAAAAAGTATCAACTTCTTAATGAGCCATAAAATACACAAACTTATGTTGACTCAACCAAATTAGGTATAAAATTAGTCAACTTTAGCTAGAGCCAAAGTGTGGAGACACGGAGAGCCGAGATCCTTGAAGACCATAGCCTGAGTCTAGAGACATGTTAAAACACAAGATTTGTGGAAACCGTAACCTGAATCCGGAGACTTGGAAGGACGAACCTGCTCCTTAGGACCGAGCTGCGTAGGAGTGATATCCTGAGCAACTGCTATCCCTTTCCTCTTTTTTTTTGGAAAAAGAATAGAAAATTCAACTGTTAGGCCCGTCCGAGATTGTCAAAACATCGGGATTACGTCTAACGATCCATGAGTACTTAGCAGTAAAGTAAAAAGAAACTAACGACCCCAAACGGAGTGATGATGTTATTTAGATGGAGATTTGACGATGAGTATTCTTTCATCTGCTCGTTCTTCGAATCTTTTTGGTGACTTGATGTCGTTGTCTGCTCTAAGTGCGAAGCCGATCAAGCTTCTGAGGATCTCGTCTCTCCATTTCTCCAGACCTGGACTCTGGTCTTAAGTTAACTAATTTTATAACTAATTTGGCTGAGTCAACATAAGTTTGTGTATTCTATGGCTTATTAAGAAGTTGATATTTTTTTTGGCTCAAAATGGAAAGTTTTGTATTAAAATGACCTTATGAGGTTTTTTTCTAATTTCAAAACGACACCGTTTTGAAATTTAACGGATAAAATAAACGGTTTTTTAAAGGGTTTTAAAGTTGACTAATTCTATACCTATTGGCCGAGTCAACCAAAATTTGGTATTTTTTTAACTCATTAAAAAATTGATAATTATTTTGGCTCATTAAAATGTTGATAATTATTTTGGCTCAAACGAATAATTCAGTAATAAAATGACTGTTTTCCGAATATTGATTAGCTACGTAAGTACCATTTTTATAAAATAATAAATTTGGTTCGTCGGGAGGATTTATATACAAACAGATTATTTCGTTCCGTCTATCGTAATAGATTTTAACCTCATCCAACCGACAAAACTGCATATTCTTCTGAGTCATAAAAATAAAGGGGGCATTTTTTTGGTCCAAAGGTAAAATAAATTTGACTATCCATGGTATGAAGAAAATGGAGTGAATGCATCACAGTAAAAGAAAACGAGAAGCAAAACTCTTTATATAGTGTTGTTTCTCACTAGCAGAGACTTGGGTAAAACTGAGAGGTCGACTTGAATGCCACTACGTCTGCGATGACCTGCACTGACTTGTGATCTGTTTGAGTTTCTTTCATATCGGTATTGCATCCCCAAACCCTAACCGCAAGCCTACGACATTTGGTTGACGTTTCTCTGAAATAGGTTTTGTACCAATTGATCACATCT